GTTGGATATGAGAGGATAAATAGCCAACGAGCGCGTAGCGCGAGTTGTCTATAATCCTCTCATATCCAACAAGGGCAAATGGAATAATTGTTTTATTAAAAACTTCACTAAACTAAACTTCGGTATTACTTTATCAATCGACTGAGTGAATTTTCAGTTCAATCTAAATGAAGTATGATTTGTATGAAAACGGCGACAAAAGGCTGGCGCTGTCTGCCAGTTCAGTTAGCACAGTGAATGAAAAGAGAGCAAAGCAGAATTTTAATCTTCGCTCTGTGTCTTCTAAAGTTTCGTATATTCTGGGAAATTGTGCAAATGGTTTAGCTTAAAATGGAAAGATCATAAATAATTGTGGAGCTGAACATTACATTCATTTTACAAGTTGAATGGACAGCTGAACGGGTTGTTTACGGCGAGCAAATCGTGCACGACTACAGAATCAATTGTGTTGAAACCAGCGAAACTGAGCAAGTTAAAATCAAGTTCACTGAAGAAAAAAGCAAAGGAAAGCGTCAATATCTACATGGATGGAGAGAAAAAGAGTGATCTTCGAAGAGAATTCCACTGTGAAGTGATCTTTGATTGTACCTGACCATCACTACACGGACGCTTGACGAACTGTCGTATGCTTCTTGTCCGATATTAAGATTGTGCTGATTTTAAAAGCTTAGTCCAGTTGGAATTGACAAGCCTCTTCGAAACACATACCCTGGGTGCCAGAGGCTTTTCTTGCGCGGTTTCTGGTTTCAAGTCTCTATTGTGACCCGCGCGAAAAGCCTCTGGAGCAGGGCGCTATTGCTTTGATAACGCCGAGCCAATGGCAAGCCTGCTTAAATCGATTTAGTCCTGAATTTGGACTAGATTGCTTATTGGCTCCTAATGACTCCCTAAGGTATTTTGAATCTAATAGTCTCTGTGATTGGTTGACAAGAATAGTACGCTGCGTGAAAGAAATCTGTGAAATTTCAGCGTGTGATGAGGTGTAATGATGGCGTGAAAGTTTATTAGAGAAAACACTTTAGGATTAGGGAAAGTTTTTTTCGTAATCTTATTCGGAAAATCATTGTTGTTCCAGCTCATTCCAGGACTATTTGTTGAGCAGAACAAGATGGGATATAATCATTATCCCAAAAGTCCGATTATGATCGTTATTTGCCCGTTAAATGCCCTCAATGAATGCCATACATTTCGCCCTGCCGAAGGCTTGTTGATATCTGCAGCGGATAAGCTACCAGAGACACAATGCTTTTCATCTGCTTTCCAGCTGCTTTCCAGCGGGCCAAATTATTTTTGTAACGCCGCGGCCTGTCTGAAAGATCGCCGTCAACAACCGCCAAGAGAACTGCAACTCTCCCAAAAATGTTTAAGCGGCACGACAGCGAAAACTATTTTCTTCACCGGAGTTGTTTTCGTTGCCGCGAACGCAATTGAGATTAATTGTAATTGAAAACCCAAATCTGTCTAATAAAGTTGTTGTTGTCATATCTTCACGTTCCATTACACGTGATCACAGTAGGGGACGTTCGCTGTGATTGGTTTAAATGTAATACGTTAATAAAGATCAAAGTTCAACGAGAACAGTAAATCAATGCGCCCTGCACCAGAGGTTCTTTCTCGCGGCTTACGCCGCTCGGGGCGTCGGCCTCCGGCCGATCCCGACGCGAGAAATAAACCTCTAACAATACTGAATAGGCTAAGCTTAGACTTGTGTTGTAAACAGGTTTTCATTCATTTTGAACGAATTTGTGCAGATTTGTATTGCGAGTTTTCTAATTTTCTCGTAAATTGTTTCAGGCTTCCTTTAGTGCTCGTTCAGTTGCATTTGTAGTACATTAATTACAGGCATTTCCAATTAAATGTTTCGTTCAAAACTTTGCTGTATTTTCTATCAGTTCTGTTACTTCGTCTTCAGTCAATTCTGTCGCGAAACAATTTTCTCCGGCGGCCATTATTCCTTGGAGAGAGAAAAAATTCAGCTCTCTTTCTCGCTGACGCGTTCATATTTGTCGGAGCAGGTATATCAGCTGTTAGACTGTCTCCGTTTAACCAATCAAAAAGCTAGAATTCCAATATCCGTGGTCCAGTTTTTAATAATCACACATTTACGCAATATATTTTCACTTAAAAACCCGGGTTTTTTTTCGGAAGGCGATTGCAGAGATTAGAAAATGGCTATATTCTCTGCGATCGTGCGGTTGTGCCAGTCACAGACGATTGCAATGAATCGCCGGTGGATCGCAAGCGAACAATGCTTCAGTTTAGTGGTAGGAGGCAAGAGATGTTCGCTGGAACTATCACATTAGTGGAGCATGCAGAACACGGGAACTGAACTTTGAGTCAGAAACTTTCAATATTTATTTTTGTTTGAACAGCAACCAGAAGTTTAGTTGTCATGTTACCAAATGAACTGAACTGAAGCCAGAACTCGTTTCCGTTTGCGTTTTATTTTATGTTTTGTTATATTTTTAGTTGATCGACATATCCCTTGTCAATCAAGGGGTGAGTGTGTCCCAAATTTGGAAGTCACGTGATTTTATTTTTTGAGTCGAGTAGACTTCGTGGATAGAATTCGAGTATAGATTCAAGTGTATTTTACCAGATAAGAACCATAATATATTCCTTTATTTAGTAAACAACACAAAACAATGACCCTGGCCAGGGCTCGAGCCCAGCCTGCTCGATTCAGAGTGCAACGCGCTAATCACCATGCCACCACGCCTTCCGAAACAAACAACGTCATGTATTTCGGCTTTGTAAACAATCGTATTACTTTATAAACTAGTAGTAATCACAAATTAAGAGAGTGCGTTCGACAGGTTAATCTCAAACAGAGGATGGTTCTCAAGTGGTCACGAACGAACTTAGAACGTTTGTTTTCTGCTGATTAATATGAAACCTGTTGCCTTGGCAATATGATTGGCTTGATATATTCTTTTTATTGAGAATCGTGCCAAGAAAGTATAATTTTGAAATGGTGGAATGATATTCCTGAATAAATATACAGTGGAACCCGGTTAATACGGACACCAAAGGGACGCGCAGAAGTGTCCGTATTATCCGGGTGTCCGTATTAAGCGGGCTCCCAGAATAAACGTCACGGACAAATGTTTTATCGATACAAAGACTAAAGCATACAATTTAAAGGCAACAGAACGATGTTTAATGTCTTAACTGCAATTTAAGTTCAAACTGAAGGAACCTTACGCTCATTCAAATACAGCAGTACATTTAATGTTCTCTTGTTTCAAACGGGACAACGCAATCATTTAAAATAGTCCGTGCAACTTTGCTCTGCACTGGTATCTTCAGTTTGCGGTTCAGTCTGACGGACTGAATATTAGACAAAACCTTTGAAAGACTCGGTTGGCAGCTTTAGTTAGGTTCTCTCAGATAACCAGTGTCCGTAAAGCGAGGCTAACTTTGTATGAGAACGTATCACTCGGGTCACAGAAAAGAGTCCGTTTTCCGTATTAACCGGTGTCCGTATTAAGCGGGTTAATGTAAGAGAAAATATATGAGCCTTTCGTCGGGACAAACAAAACTTTCCGTATTAAGCGGGTGTCCGTAAAGCGGGGTTCCACTGTATACATTTAGGTTCAGATAACCATTTGTCAATTGCAAGTAAACCCCCTCCCCCCCCCCCACCTCCAACCCCTTCTCCCTTTCAGTCTGTTTGATTTGCTTCATGTGGTTGAAAGATAATTGACAGTGAAGGCTGGGAGATAGCCATCCCAATAAATAACACTAATGAATACATTAAATTATGGAAGCACAGATTGCAACAGCGACATTTATTGAAATTTATTGAAAATAATTCAAAACGGTATTTAGCCAGAGATCAGGCTCCGAGAGAAATCGCCGAGAGCGAACTGGGGCGGGAACGAGTACCATCATCACGCCAAAAGCTGACCATTTTCTTTTTAAATCTGTAAGAGCATTTTAGAAATATTCCGCTAAATGTACATTATGCGTTTCGATCGTGTTCTGTGGTGCCTAGCTGCAGTTCTTCAAAATTAAATATTTTGAATCTGTAGCCATCCGAAGTGCTCCATTTACCTTACAAAGTTTTTAATACCATCAACAATTCTTCAACAGAGGGGAGGTACATATAGCTTTAATCTATTGAAATATTTTCAAGTAAATTCTGGAAATACACAAAATGGTCCGTAAAAAGTTCAGTGTTGTTTTATCAAAAACCGCCTTACAGATTTTCATCAAATTTCGTCTACCTGTGGTCAAACTACACTACTTCAAAATATTATAAAATGGATGCAATGTTTCCGACTAGATTTCGAGAAAATCAGCCTTATTAAAACCAATAGGATGTCTAAATCGTTGCTATGGTAACCTTTGTTGCTTGGAAACCAGTGGAAATAAAACTATCATCATATGTCATCATTATGGTATAGTATGTCAAATCGTTTGCCTTCTGATCGAATTTTTGTTTTCAAAAATCTCACCCCATCGCTAAAAAAACGACATTGAGCCACCTTAAAATTGGCATTTTTCTATGTTAATTAGAAAAATAAAAATCTTATTGACCAAACTTGTGTGGCGTGGATTTAGAAATATAAGTTATATATAATTAGTTTAATATCAGGATGTCGAACAAGTGCAAGTATTGACAACCGGTGAGACATTCGCCGTCCTTATGTTACAATCTGTTCGTACATAAAATCAATGTATTATGTCTACCTACAGTACCGCGACAGCATGGCAGACGTTTCTACTCAAACGATGTAATTCGTTTTTGAGGGTTTTGTTTTGGCCATAAAAGGTAAGGTAAAGCCGCCCTCGGGCCTAAACAGGCCCACACTGCCACAGCTTATGCCGGTTTCCTTAGCATTAAGCCGACTAATGGTATTGCTACCCCCCCCCCTGGATGGGATGCTAGTCCATCGAAGGTTATCCCCCAGCATTTTGTCGCCGGTACACATTTATACCCTGGGTAGAGAGAGGCACTGTGAGAGTAAAGTGTCTTGCCCAAGAACACAACACAATGACCTAGGCTAGGGATCGAACCCGGATCGCTCGATCCGGAGTCCAACGCGCTAACCATAACCGCGTCTCCCACTTGGCCATTAAGCAAAACTGAAAATCGTTTCCAATTTTAATATGTACCTCTTTTCGGACGCTTCTTTGAAAACTATTAGGTTCAAGGGTCCATTTGTTTGCTTGCGTAGACTGGAGTTAAAACACTTAGCAGAACGTTTAAATACCGGGGCCCGGTTGCATAAAGCAACTTAAGATTAAGTAGGTATTTCTACAACTGTTCCGGATGATTTTTTCGCAGCGTCCTAATGTGTTCCTACACTCTCCACATCCGGCCGATTTATCCATAATAGCGTCCAAGAAAATCCTTCGGGACAAAGGGAAATAAATTCCTATTACTTTACTTTACTTTATTACTTTACGGATTACCCTGAATTGCTGCCGTATTGCTCCCCTTCCTCCTCTGGTCGGTACACAAGGCTAACCACCAACCAATGGTCACGAAAACAGAAAATATTGCTAATTATCTGGACGTCCCCTCGGGGGCGGAAAGAGAAGAAACAAACCCCACAACCTCTAACAAACGGGGAGCTAGGCAAGGTATGAAGAACAGCACGCACGGATGAAGTTTATCTCGCCGACTGATCTCGTTTGAAACATGGTACATGGAATGTTCGTACTTTGTACGAGCAGGGAAGAAACAGTCAAATAGACACTGATCAAAGAGTTGGAGAACCTCGGGAGGACGTGGGATGAAACAAAACAGCTGGTAAATAAACAGAGTCCGATGGAAAGCTATGGTCGCATTTTAAAACACGATTAACTAAAAACGGAGATGATATGACGGTGTGTCAACATATTTGAAACTGGAATAACTGAATACAGCTGCCCAATATTGCCCAATATAATACGTCATCGCTTTTGTGTGAATAACGTGTCTTTTATTTTTTTGTTTTCATGCAGACACTAATGGATTTTTTTTTTTTTGTGGTGCCCTGGTGAAGACAAAGTCAGTAAACGGCTAAGCGATCGATGAAATGGCTGAGAAGGTTTCGTTTTTTTTTTATTTTAGTATTTTTAGTCATTACTGGACATTATAAACTAAATTCGATTTGAGACGACATTACGGCTTTATAATGACGGCGTTGGGAGAAAATATATTCCGTATTGGGCGGAGTCGCGTAACTCCGCCCAATACGGAATATATTTTCTCCCAACGCCGTCATTATAAAGCCGTAATGTCGTCTCAAAATCGAATTTAGTTTTGTATCGCGATTCAAACAATTTTGGACAAATTAAAAGGAAAATTAAGATCAGTTGTTGTTGATTGAAATAGAAATTCCCACTATACGCGACGTAATGTGCACGAATACTTGAACGCGAAAGCATTTTTTTCGTTTCGAAGAAAGTCGGACTTTTTTTGCCGGTAAATTGCTTATGGAAACAAAAGCAATTCAGAATTATGTCCCACAAAGTTTTTTAAAGTACCAAACAGCAATGAAATGGCAAAATAATCCAATTTTGCACCGAAAAAGTTTATTTTACAACTTAGCGCGTGCACATCTCGAAAGCAAGTGAAAACGGTAAACAAACTCTTACAAGAAATAAATGACTTTTAATACTCACCATACGCTAACTTTTAGATTGAGCAAATTGTACCGGCGAATAAAGCACTCCACACATTAGCAAATGACAAGATATAAACGATTGCCGACGAGTTTATCGAAGAAAACTTTTGAATTTTGATGTGTACGCGAGGAACCCATTTCAGTGTTCCGGTGTCAATTTGTATCTTCAGAACCAATCACCGGCCCGCATTTGAGACGACATTACCGCAAAATAATGTCGTCTCACTCGTAAGCAGAACTATAGGTGGATCGCGATACAAGTATTAAAACCGACAATATTTTTAAGACTGTGGAAAATGATCCAAAATTGTGTTCTTAGCAAACTTAAACCACGCCCTTTGTGAAACCCGGTTAACACCTGTGACATAAGCATCAGAATAACCACACAGAAACCCAATAGTGTACCACATTACTGGCACAAGAAAAAGGAATGTTTAACCTTTTTTTTTCTTATATATGCTTGCGCTTCTTATTTCAGAAGTTCATGCATGTGACCAGAGTAAAATAAATAAATAAAAAGAAAGATGATAATTTTTGTAAGATTAAAACAGGTCTGAGGAGAACGTATTGCAGAGGCATTGTGCAACTTCTCGTTACTTTGCGAATAGGAAAGTAAATATTTAAATTAACAAAAATGTATCGAAAAAATAATCGATATAAATTAAAAGTGAAAAATAAAAACATAACATAGGCTCCTATAAAAATTCCCTCAAATGTTATACTTGTCAAAACTAAGTTATCTTGGGAGAAATACAATTGGAAAGCAATTTGCAAAAACAAAGTGAAATTAAAACGCTTACAGGTAAACTCTAGAAAAACTCATAACATGTGTAGGAGTGTATCTATAACAGGGTCCTTGTCTCTTTTGTATATGTTTATTTTGCACGTTATCTTTACTAGTTAACCATTGACTTTTATATGGGGACTCCCATATAAAAGTGAGGGGGGTGATCGCAGTACCTTTTAGGGGTTATAATTCGTGGTTTGGTACCGCTTAGGGTGTTAAAAACTCTAAAATTACTGCCGTTGGAGTTATTCCGGTACCTTTTAGAGTATTAAGCTGGAAAACTATATAACTGGGACAAGTTTTGTCTTAGAATTGGTACCTCTTAGGGGTGAAATTGAATTCGAGCCACACTCACAAAACGAGATTTTGGTACCTTTTAGAGGTTCTTTTATCACCCCCGTCACTTTTATACGAGAGTCCCCTGACAGAGCTCAAACTAATTGGTTCCACCTGGAAAGATGTTGAGAGAACAGCCCAAGCTCGTGTTCGCTGGCGAGCTGTTGTTGATGGCCTATGCTCCTCTTGGAGCGACGGGCCTAAGTAAGTAAGTAATGGGGAGGTTTGAGTGTCTGCTGACGGGCGGAGATGGAAACTGTGCGCGCTGCAGAAGTGCGAGCTGTAGATTAAGGCGGAAAGGCAGTTACATTCAGACGACCATTACAGAAGCTGTTCCCCATTGAGCTTAGTGGTAGGAGGCAAGAGATGTCCGCTGTAACTATCACATTTGTGGAGCATGCAGAACACGAAAACTGAATTTTGAGTCAAAACTTTCAATATTTATTTACGTTTGAACTGTAACCAGAGCTTATTTTAGTAGTTCTGTTACCAAGTGAACTGAACAGAAGCCCAACTTCGTTTTCGTTTTGTCATATCATTAGTTGATCGACACATCCCTTGTTAATCAAGGGTTGAGTGTGTCCCAAATTTGGAAATCACGCGATTTTGTTTTTTGAGTCGAGTAGACCTTGTGGTCGATTCTTGTTCATTCCAGTGTAGAATTCAAGTGTAGTAGATTCAAGTGTATTTCACCAGAGAATAACCAAAATAGAATCCTTAATTTAGTAATTTGACCAGAGTTCGAGCCCAGTCCGTTCGATCCAGAGTGCAACGCGTTATCCATTAAGCCACCACGCCTCCCGAAAGCAAACGACGTCATGTATTTTGCCTTTGTAAACAATCATATTACTTTAGAAATTAACTTATCACATTTAAACTATATTGGAAGATATGGAAAGCGAACATTATGAGCATTTGTGCTATTTACATGTAGTAAACTACATATTACATTGCAATCTCTATTATTTGACCATAACTCCCTCCAAACAAAACTTTGTCTACATCCCAATACTAAACTAAACTTAACTTAACTCTATTCCCATCGTTCAAACTACTATATTTCAATACCCGGATATTGCAAAGGCTAGTCAAGGCAGATAGTGTTAGCATCAATATATTAAATTTAGCTCAATATTATATATAAAAGAAAAATGACACACTTTTTAAAGTGCAACTAGCCCCAAAAATGTTTATTCGTTGAAATAAATTATTGTTATTTGAAACTTTACTGCGAATAATTTTTTGGATTTGGTTCAATCCTCGATTATCTGTTCCCCGGCAAAGTCACGTAAAAACGCCGCCATTTTTGTTAACAACCGCGTTTTTGGAGCGGAATGGGTCAAGCGGCTAGTGACGTCAACCCGGGAACCTTGGATCCTTTGCGTCCACTAATTTCCTTCAGGAAGATGCGATACACATTCGTAAAGTGTGTAGAAAACGCCTTCCAGGTGCGTTATTGGCCTTTGCAGCAACACCCCAGATTTAGAGAAAGGTATACTATACCATTTTGTAGCGATCGTCGAGAAAATACGAAAAAAGGCGGTGGATTTTGTCAACTCAAACGAGCGAAGTGAAGTGGGACTGTCAGAGCCATTGATCAAGAACTCTGGAATTTTGTCCGCACACTTCTTGGAGGCCGACTTCCAATGGCTATTTAAACCGGTCAAAGCCAACTAGCAATTCGACCAAATGTTACCGAGAACCTATCTCTACCATCGCTATTCAAATATAGCAAGAAATAAATGTCAGCCCATGAATTTCAGTAGCGCGGGCGTGGAATCCGAGCGTTCGTCCGTAGTATCGCGCATCTGTAATGGCGAAGGAATATTGATGAAAGTCAAAGACGAATCTCGTTCGAAGGATAAAATAGGAAAAATGACAAAATATTTGAATTCTAAAATATTTTTTTTCTGAGGCCGGGAAATAAGCAGTACGATAAACCGTATACTCATCGTAGTATCAATGCGGCCCGCTGAGAGAATATATCCACTTCGCTTATCGAGGAAGAAAAGGTCAACATTTATTTGACGGTTTTTACTTCAAAATTAACCTCGTTCACTATGGTGGTTATTTGGAGAAGCAACAACAAATTTCTACGACTTCAATTTCCAGGCCCGACCAAGCCGCGCGGAGAAAGCCGATTTTCAATCGATCGACTATCTCTTGGGAAGCAGGTCACGTCGCCCATCGAACAGTCGCCCCAAGTTACGTCGCCCCGAAGTATAGTTACGTCGCACCCAATCGTAGTTACGTCGCCCCCAAGTGTAGTTACGTCGCCCCATAAAGAAAATAAGATTTATTCTATCATATTAAGTGGTAACAATCCAGCAGTATGAG